CTTGCGGAGGAATGTAAACACTGACGAGAATGAACGAGCAAAACTCCTGCGGCGAATAGAACGGCTTGCAGTTAACGAAGAGCGCTTCTAGATCGGGACAACACATCTTCTTTAACGCTGTAACATCTGTACACCACCTTTCGTTGATGTAAACACGTCCCGCCGCCGCGCGGTTTCCCCGTTGATTCTGCGTCGCGGTGTGCTCTAAACAGCTGAAAGCCTGGCAGATGCAGCGCGCTGTCCGGAATGACGTCATTCAGCCAGGTTTCCGTGAAACACAGAGCAGCAGAGTGTGAAAAATCCTTATTTGTCCGGGAGAGTCCAGTTCTTCTTCTCCTTAGCCCGGGTAAGACGCCTCTGACGTTGTCTGTGGTTCAGGAGTGGCTTAACAAGAGGAATACGACAACTGTAGCCAAATTCCTTGACACGTCTGTGTGTGGTGGCTCTTGATGCCTTGACCCCAGCCTCAGTCCATTCCTTGTGAAGTTCACTCAGATTCTTGAATCGATTTTGCTTGACAATCCTCATAAGGCTACGATTCTCTCGGTTGGTTGTGCATCTTTTTCTTCCACACTTTTTCCTTCCACTCAACTTTCTGTTAACATGCTTGGATACAGCACTCTGTGAACAGCCAGTGTACTTTTTTTCTGGAAGCTCCTGTTACCAAGACAAATAAATGTCTTGTGTGTGTAAACATACTTGGCAATAAAGCTCTTTAGCATTTATATTTCTTGGTGGGATCAGGTGAGTTACAGTTTGTTTTACAGTTTTACATTGACTTACAGATGTTTTTATTTATTTATTTATTTTTTTACATTATTTAAATGTTCTTAAAGCAGCAGGATGTGTGTCTACAAGTCATCCACACTGTTACAAAAAGTCAACTAGGCCAGAAGAGGACTTCATTTGTGAATGGGATGAGAGAAACCCTGAGAAGAGTCAAACACACACTCTTCATATATGGTGAGGTCAACCAACACATTCAGCATGAAAGTAACACAAACAAATCATGCTGTCTTCATAGTTACAAAACATTGTAAACCTATGAAAGGCTGTGTGTTTCACTGAGAGTAAAAAACTAAAGTATACCTTGGGTTTAACAGATACTGAGGTTTGATAATGCATGTCAGTCATCATAAATATAACTTTCACAGGGACAGTGAAAAGAAACAATTTCTTACACATATGAACTGTGGCAAACAAGCACAGACAAACATTCTCTTGGAGCAACTAGGAATCACCAACAGAAAGACAGACATATGGGTACAGACACAAGTCGGCAACCTCACCTGTAATTCTAGCAAAATCTCAGTCATCCTTGAATGCATGGGTAAGTTTATATTACATTAATAAGGGCCAATACACATGGTTGGGATCATAAATGTGTGCATTTGTTAAAATATATTGGATATGTAATAATTATAGAATTAAAAATGTATCACGTTATCATTATTATCATGTGTATCATGTAACATCATTTTTTTTACATATCAGCATAGCATTTTGCTAATGTATACTCATGTTGTCAACAGTCAAATACAGTAAGCCTCAGATTCTCAGAATGAAAAGGTTAGCTGGAATCCTGAAATTCACACTGGACAAACCCAAGGATAACAAAGGTGCTAAATATGAGATCAGATGGAGGGAGAGAGGCTCTGAATGGCAGAATGTAAGACGTTTCAGAAAATCTGGTATTTTAAATTCCTGAAATGAATCTGTTATTTTACTAATATGATGTGTTCTCCAATTGTAGGCAACATTTGAAACTAAGGACAGCACCGAAGGTTAGAGCCCTCATTCTGTTAATACAAATTATATATGTGCACAAATAAGGTTGTCTGAATGTTGCACAGTCTGAACAGTGATTTGTCCTTGGGTTTATTAAAAAAAAAAAAAAAAAGAGTTAATGACTCTTTTGACATAATTCACAATGCATTATTAAAAAAATAACAATGGTTTAAAGGGGTAAAATCAAAAATCAAATTCTACTTCTCTCTTCTTTTTAAATCTTTTTAAATAAAATAATTAAATGTACTATGAAAACATTCTGTAATTTTACAAAATATTACTTTAGTAACTTATTATTAACTTTTGGCAGTCTGGTTAAATTGGTTTAAATTATAAGTAAAATTATTTAAAATAATAAGTAAAAAAAAGAGATTGTTTCTGCAAATTCAAATGGAAGGTCAATTTGAGAGTATCATAGCATTCTGTGTAGTGTGTGCTGTTTTATACTTCATAATTTGCCAAATGAGATAGGCCATAGAGGTATTCTTTTCATGTAAAAATGTGCATACTGTGTGCATATTAAAAACTGATAGTAAGAATAGTATGTCAACACTGTACACTCCAGCCCATAAAGCTAAAGATAATGAGTAAAATGTGGGAAAGGGTTATCAAATCTGGTTTTGTGCATATCCTTCCAGTAAAGGATTTTTTCATCATTTTTATACAGTTTCTGATCATGTTACTTGACAGCAAATATGCAGCAAAGCACTGTTACTCATTACATATGCAATGATGATGTTTACTCTTAAAGGCACAGCACCAAAGAGGCTGTAGAGAGGTTGGAAAACAATGAAAAACTAAATTATTTTTAAACTTGTTTTTGGTGCAAAAACTGTAATAAAAAATGTAATGGCTATGACCCATTTAAATGATCTCAAAATTTGAAGATTGCAATCTAGGATCACTGGAAATATGTGACTCCAAAACTGCAAAAATGTACCTTTACAAACATTTCACTGCAGTTCCCAGGTGAAATGAACACCAACAACTTTTGTTCCTTTTCACACAAATTATGATTACAGGGACAGATTCGATTTATCACTGATTAAATGCTTATTTTTTCCATAAAGTAGAGAGAGCATGCGCGTATGGTTGCCAGGTTGGGAAGATTATAAAGTCTGTAAGTAAAGTTAAGTAAGTCTGATTAAGTAAGTATTTTAACTCTTGAAATCTGGCAACCCCAACCATGAAAGCTTGAGAAAACAGGTTTTGCAGTCACATATTTCTAAAATTGTGTCCATCCTTTTTTTAAATCTGCAGTCCGTAACTTTTGGCGCTGTAGCGGTTAAAGGGGTCATATGATGCAATTTCAATTTTTCCTTTCTCTTTGAAGTGTTACAAGCTTTTGGTGCATAAAGAAGATCTGTAAAGTTGCAAAGACTAAAGTCTCAAATCCAAAGAGATATTCTTTATAAAAGTTAAGAGTCAACCACGCCTACCTAAAACGGCTCGTTCTAACACGCCCCAACATGTCTACATCACTATGTGGGAAGATTTGCATAACGCCGCCCAAATGTTCACGCAAAGAAAGAAGGCATAACTTTTATTCTCGCTGTAGTATTGTTGTTGCCACCGCTGCCATGTCGTGAAGGCGCTGTGTGTTTCGTTGTGAAAGTGAAACTACTTTGTTTGGTCTTCCAAAAGAGGATGATATCCGCTTCGTCATGCCTAGAGCTGATCCGTGCTTGTCGCTGAGGAAATACATCAACTTCGCGCTGTGGATCGCCGGATCGGCTTTCACCGTGGACGAAGCGGAGTCCAGCCCGGGGTCGTCACATGTGGTTGCCGCAAGCCCACCGGCCGCTCCTTCGTCGAATCCGCCGGCCGCGCCGTTCCCAAGCCCACCGCCCGTCGCTCAGTCTAGCCCACCGTGTGTGACGCTGTGTGTTTCGTTGTGAAAGTGAAAGAACTGCGTGACTCTTGCGGAAGAACATTGTAGCCGGAGCTACTTCTCTCTGTTTAAGTCTATGACGAATCACGCAGGTACCAGGCTACTCCGCAGCGGTTCCACCAGAACCAGTCTAAAATAGTCTGAATATAAACACTTATTATAGGTGTACCGTAGTGATTCAGGATAAGCCAAAAACACGGTTTGGAAAATGGATTCATGGTGTACTCGCTTATTATATAAATTTTGTAAATTTTGAACACAAAAAAATTATGGACTGCAAAACTGATTGAGATGAATATGTTTATAGATTTCTACATGCTACATCTACAGTACACGAAAATCTACCAGATCCAACTGAGGCGGCAGGCCAAACTGCAGTCAAGTCTATGTGAAAACTCACTACATGCTCTCTGGAGTGACTGGAGCCTAATGGTGGATGTTCCCTCAGGTTCGAGTTCAGCTGTATCTGTCAATGAATGCTACAACTGCGCCATCTAAAACAATTTTTAATAAGTAAAAGCATCTGAAAATATTTGGTTAACAGATGTAACACTTCTCTACAGAAATCAGGCGCACACCTGTAATACGCTGGGTGGTAAACAACCTGACAAATGGTACCAGAGATATTACTCTCTCCTGGGATGTAAGTATGAAAGGAACAGAGCACACCAGAAATGTTTTTATTAGGTTGAAGATTAATAAAATTTGATTTGAATGATGCTAAAATGTAGTGTTCTTTAGGCCCCACCTGATAATGAGTCTGTAGGGGGTGTGAAGTACAATCTGACCCTCTCAGTTTGGCCTTGTACAAAAAAACAAAAGGGAATGGACCATTTAACTGTGAATCAAACATATAATACATCAATAACTTATTCAGAAGCCAGGATTTCCATTTTTGCAACTAACAATGTTGGAAGTTCACCACAAAAGCAGATCATCATTCCTGCTGTGAAACATCTGAACTGTAAGTGTTAGCATGGGTTTTCAGGTACAGTATGTGTGCTTGAGAGTGTTCGCTTACGGGGTTTTTGGTGACTGAGACTTTTAAAGTGTTGTTAAAAATTACTCATATTGAAAAAATGAAAAAACCTTGAGAAGAAACAGTAAATTGGAAACTCATTTGAAGTTTTGACCCTTTTCAGACTGCGACTCTCACATGTCCTCAAACGTCAACAAGGCTATGAAAACTTGCTTAGAATGGTACAAACTGGAAGACGGTGAGACTCGACCAAGGACAGTAAACAAATCACCCAAAAAATCATTCCAGGACATTAAAAATGGTAAAGATAAGCCATTCATCCAATTTAAACATCAGTTCATGTGTCATATTAGCATGTGCTGCATATGCTAACTCGTGTCTCTGGTTTTAATTACAGAGGTGGAGAATTTCGTACGTCATTATTACTTTCTTCACACCATGAAAAAGAACCATTATAAAACTGCTGTTATGTGTCCTTTTTACTCAAAACAGAGAGGTAAGTTCAGACTAAGGATGTGCCAATAAAATTCTGTTAATTATTATCATGTTATGGCCAATAAATGGCCGATATTAAAACAAATGGCTGATATTAAAATATTATTTTGTTTAAAAATTAAAAATAAAACACTAAAATCTAAAATAAAGCAAGAAAATTCTTAAAGGGGTCATATGATGCTATTTTAAAGATCATTATTTTGTGTATTTGGTGTAACAGAATATGTTGACATGCTTTAATGTTCAAAAAACACATTATTTTTCAAATACTGTACATTATTGTAGGTCCTCTATGCCCCGCCTCTCTCAAACGCTTCGTTTTCAACAAAGCCCCCTCCTTTGACAAGCGCAGTCTGCTCTGATTGGCCAGCTGACCCAGTGCATTGTGACTGGCCGAACACCACAAGCACGAGTCGGAAATGTAACGCCCCTTAACATAATCGCGAGCGTCAGCTTTCAAAGTAAATATCAAGACAGTTAATAGTGTCGTTAGTCTTGAAATCGCATCATATGACCCCTTTAAAGTAAATCATTATAATGTACAGTATGAAAAATGTATATTTTAGGACTCGATAAAATTCTTTTAATTGCTGTTAAATTGTTAGTGTTTGTAACCTCTTAAAGGGTTAGTTCACCCAAAAATAAAAATTCTGTCATTAATTACTCACCCTCATGTCGTTT